GTCTTCTGATCCCAGAACAGTACTACCTATATTAAAGGACAATGGCTCTCAACAAGGAAACAACCATTCTCCCATCAATTAAGAGCCTGTTTAAACAAATCCACCACTATCCCCTCAAAACTTTGTTTTTTAACATTCTTTACCAACAGCTTACAAAATGTCTTCACGTGTGTATGTATGTATGTATTTAGGTAATGGAAACTGAACCCAGAGCCTTTGCACTGAGCTAAATCCCCACCCCACCCCCGCCTTTCTTTTTTTTCACTTTTTGAGAAAAGGTCTTGCTTAGTCACTAGGTTGCCCAAGCTGGGCTCAAACTCGGCATCCTCCTGTCTCAGCCTACAAGCAGACTATGATTATAGACATGCACCACAATGCCCTGCTGAAGAATACATTTTTTAAAAGCTGCATCCCTTACACATATACAAAAATACTTCAAATAATTCAGCTAAGCATTTTTTTTTTATTTTTTGAGTTGGGGTCTCACTATATAGTTGAGACTGACCTGGAACTCACTATGTAGCCCAGGCTGGTCTCGAACCCACAGCGATCCTCCTGCCTCAGCCTCCCAACTGTTGGGATTACAGGCGTGCACCACCATGCCCAGCTCTTTTTGCTTGTTTTTTGAGACAGGGTCTTACTTTGCAGTTTAGGCTGGTCTTGAACTCACTATGTAGCACAGAGCAGCCTCAAATTTGCAGCAATCTTTCTGCATTGGTCTCCCAGGCACTGGGATTACAGGTATGCAACTCCATGCCCAGTAATTAAGTTTTTTATTATTATTAAAATGTGGTTTGGGAGCAGAGACTGACAATAAGTTCTTGGCCAACTACTACATCTTTCAAGGCTTGTACTATAAAAGAACAATCTATGAAGTGCTTTGGATTAGAAATAAGTGAGATCCATGTCTTTTATGTACCTTCTTCAGTCAGAGATCCCACCATACCAATCTCTAAAAATGTCTCTAGTTCCTTGTAAAATATGAAAATCATACCAATAACCATGAGTTCCAGGGATTTAGTACTGCACCTACCTCACAAGCACAAGGTCCTGAACTCGATTCCCAGTACCCACCCCCCCAAAAAATGAATTGTTGACAATCTGTCTGCTTTGGCCGGACAAACAGCCTCTCCTACTAGCCAGATCTCCAATGGCCTGAATTTGTGTTCTGTGATCCCACACTGGTCCCTTTATATTGAACTGATAAAAAGGTTCTGTAGAACATATTTGGAAATGTGACTAACAGGTCTTGAGTCTTGGCTCATCTTAAATGAAGGAAATTACAGTTGTACCTTGATTCACAAACTTAATTCTTTTCACAATTCTGGTCACAGAATTCATTCCACAATTCTGGTTGCAACATGGAATGAATTCAGCAACCAGAATTGTGGAAAGAATTAAGTTCATGAAACGAGGTACCACGGCATAGTATTATAGTTTTGGGATGGACCTTTTCTGCCACACACATGGAGTGGAAACAGGGACACCTGTACTACACAGAAAACTCACTAAAGCAAACACACTGAAAATTTGCCTAGCTTCAGATGCCTTTCCAGTTCCTGCCTCACAAGCCTTCCTTCACATGCCTTCACATGCCTTCCTGAGACTCAGTGGTATTCACAATATATCCCTGAATCTTTTAGATAAACCCTCTTCTTTGGTTTAAACTAATTCCAGATTATTTCTGTACATACAATAACATGATCTTAACTAATACAGTATTAAACTAATTTCCTCTTCACATATGACCACTGGACTTATTTCTTATTATGGTCAGATTCAAAGATGAGAAAGGAATCTCCCGTCGAGTGCTACTTGCCTAAGGAGGAAAACTCTCTAAACCATCAACATCTAAACAAGGCCCCTCCACCCCCGCTACGTTCCTCTAGAAAATGTACAACAATAAAATATGTGAAATATGGCCTAATTACCAAAGAGAGGTAAATTATTATATTATTAAAATATTATATATCAGATAAACTATATTAGATATACTAATATTAGATATTAGATAAACTATATAATGACAGCTAAAATGCATTCAACTTTTAGCCAGGTAGAGTAGGGCATACTTATAATCCCAGATACTCTGTAGGCTGAGGCAGAAGTATTATGAGATCAAGGCCAGCCCATCTCAATACATACATACGTGAATGCATTTAAAAATGAGTTACCAGTAATCTAATTTATCAGCAGGTAGGCCCAGAAACGATCATCCTAGAGGAACTATAGGGGAGGTACCCTGACTGCTCACCATGTACGGACGCCTCAGTATGACTAGCTGTGTGAGCTCTGTGTCAGAGTCCAAACAGTCAAACCAACTGGAGCAATGAATGCTGCCCAAAACACTGGGCAAAGGATTTCTATATGCAGCGCCAGATGCTACCAGCAGCTGGTGTCAACTTCCTTCCTTCCCCCTCACCCTGCATGGACCTAATACCTCAGGGCTCTCAGCTATTCCCAGGTCTTGAGATAGTTATCAGGAGAAAAGACAGTTAGGTGGCCCTGACCTCTGCCTGCTGGGAGAAAAAGCTTCTCTGAAGGTAAAAGGCATGGGTTTACAGAGCATGGGGATACTGAGGATTTGAAATCCATACAGAAATATGGTGTTCTTCCTGTATGTGGCTGAATTAGCCCTTGGGTGTACAGTATTTCCATGGATACCCCCTCACCTTCCCAATCTCTCGGCCAGTGAGTGTGAACCTTTTAAATCTTTCAGTAACAAACAGCCACCTGTGGTATACGCACCATAGGTTCACTACCACTGCTCCAGATTTGGTGCTTTAGATTATCTTGGATTCTTTTCTTTCTTCCATAGCAAATCAGCTGCTGAGATTTCCTTAACTTTATCTCCCCAATATCTTATATTGCCCCCTCCTTTTTTCCAATATAACCAAGTGGAACAAGAAAGCTTTGGAATTAGGCAGAGCTACCACTTAATAAACAGCTGTGCCTATTCTTATCTTTGAGCCTCAGTATTTTCAATAAAATGAGGATAACAAGAATGATGCTTACTCTGTTTTGTTGTTTTTTGGTGTTAGTTAGTTTGCTTGTTTGTTTTTGAGACAGGGTCTCACTATATAGTTGAGACTGACCTGGAACTCACTATGCAGTCCAGGCTTGTCTCGAACTCACAGCGATCCTCCTACCTCAGCCTCCCGAGTGCTGGGATTACAGGCATGCACCACCACACCAGGCTTCCTACTCTGGTTTTGCTGTAAGCAAGAAGATGCCTTTCCACTACATTAGCTTCCTTCCTCTCATCCATCCCTCTGCCCACACCCAAATACGGCCCCCTGTGACATCATCCTTTCTAATAAAATCTAATGTAATCTCAAAATGGCTCCCATTCCCCCTCCACTCCCTAGGACTGTAATAATAGCAAACAGATTTTATAGGTGTCATTAAGGTTACTAATCAGTTGACTTTGAGCAGACTCAAAGGAGACTGTCCAGGTGGGTTTAATCTAAACACATGAGCATCTTAAATTCAGAACATCTCCAGAGAGGTAGTCAAAATTCTAAATATGGGGGAGGTTTGATGCCCTTCTGCTAAATTGAAAATGGAGAAGAGCATAAGAAAAGCACTTGAGTGTGGCTTCTAGTAGCTGAGAAAAAACCCTGCTGACAGCCAGCCAGCCACCAGGGAAACAGAACCCAGTGTCTCAACTGCAAGGAATTAAATTCTCTAAATTCTGCACCATTTCAATAAGCTTGAAGTAAGCCAAGGAAGTCATTTCCCAGAACCTCTACTGTAGACAAGTACTCAGGCAGCTTATACCTTGTTTTGTTTTGTTTGTTTGTTTTGGTACCAGAGATTGGACCCAGGCCCTTACACTTTCGAGGCAGGTGGCAGAACCACTGAGCCAAATCCCCAGCCTGGCAGCTTATACTTAATTTCAGTCTAGGGAGGCCCCAAGCAGGAAACCCAACACCATACCTCGATTTCTAACCTTTAGGTCTGTGAGGTGATAAATGGATTTTTTTAAAGAAAGAGAAAAAGAAGGAAAGGAGGACACAAGCAAGAGAGAGAAGAAAAGAAGAGAGACAGAGAGTCAGGAATGCTGGTACATGCCTGTAAACTCAAAAGGATGAGGCAGGAAGATGGAGAGTTTGAGGCCAGCCTGAGCTACACAGAGAAACTCTGTATCAAAAACTAATACAGCCTCCCAATTAGGACCAGAAAGAAGACTCTGTGGGGGAAGAAGTAAGTCTCCACAACTGCCTTTATCTCCTTTCCATATTCCCACCTTCACCAGAAGACCTCTAAGACCCTCCTGCCTCTGCCTTCAGTGTCAGAGATTACCTACCGCAGGACCAGTGAAGCGGTTCCACAACTACCTTGCCAGCTGGGTATAGTGATGTACTCCTGTGATCCCACTGGGTTCACAAATTCAAGGCCGACCTGGATGTCTTAGCAAGAGCCTATCTAAAAATGTTAGAAAGGGCTGGGGATATAGCTCAGCTGTAGAACATCCTTGGTTCAATCCCCAGTACAGCAAAAACAATAAAAATATAGGCCATGGGCAGAGAACCTTCCCCATCAGACCTTGGCTAGCTTCATAGCCTCCTGGGATTAACAAAGGACCTGGATGGTGACTCTCTTACTGGCTAAGTCTAAAGCTTGGCCTTTAGTTAATACTCATCAGTCACATTTTCACATACAGTCAGGCTTCTATTTCTCTGAGTCATGTACTGGTTTTTTATGTTTATCTATAAATAGAATATGCAAACATAAAGGAAATGAGGATGAGGGTGATGTACTACCTGTATTTTGTTAAACAACAAACATAACCTGAATGCCTGCCACATGCAGGCACCCTGGGGAAAAATAAATCAGATTGGTTCTTACACTTGACCTGTAATCCAAGTAATTTCTGAGCACAGAGGTCAAGCAGTCTTCCATGGCTTAGAAACCAGGAGGCTGAATTCTTCACATCAGGAAAACAAGGACAACAGAATCAGGTCTTCTACAGGACAGCAGTGGGTGGAGCTCTTTTGCATTCACCCTGCCCCATGATTCTGGGCCTGTCTTCTGTGCCCCACCCTGGACTCCAATAACATGTATATGATGTCACTGTCTGGATGTGTAACAGCCTTGGAGAATTTCATCTAGAGCCTCAAGCACAGATTAAAAAATAAATCCATAGCATTTGCACAGACCTTGAATGTCCACAAGGCACTGTCATATTTATTGTTTCATTTCATCCTCCCTGTGGCTCCAAGAGTAAGGTGGGGTAGATTATTATGCCCATTTATGGATGAGAAAATGAGGCTCAGTTGAAGTAATTTATCCCAAGTTGCCCAAATTAGATGAGAGAGTTGCCTCTCTCTTTCATTTTGAATCTGGTCTTTAGGCCTAAATGGGAACCCAAATGGAGACTGGCTAAACTCTTCCAGACCAACAGATTGATTATTTGAGAGTTTTCTTTGCAAAAATAATGAAGGATCAGTGGTGTAGTCAGTGGTAAAGAGCTTGCTTTGCATGTGTAAGGCTCTGGGTCTTGTCCTCAGCACTGCAAGAAGAAAAAAGAAAAGAAAAGAAATGAAAAAAATCAGGACAGAGGAAAACTGTAAGAATGCCTAATGTGTAAGTAACATTCTGTACATTCCAAACAATTTACATATTTCTTCTTCATTTATATTCCATAAAGCTAACAAGGCAAGTATAATATCACAAGAGATTGATCAAGACTAGTCCTCAACTCTTCTAACTCCATAGCAAGGGAAAGCCTTCTTGTCTCTCATATCTCACTTTGCTCCTTTGGTCCTGAGGGTCAAGACCAAAAAGAGACTGGACACTTCTTTTGTGAATCTTACTAAGTCTCACCGTTTTCTTTTCTTTTATTTTTTTTTTTTTTTTTTGGTTTTTTGAGACAGGGTCTCACTATGTAGTTGAGACTGACCTGGAACTCACTATGTAGCCCAGGCTGGTCTTGAACTCATAGCCATCCTCCTGCCTCAGCCTCCCGAGTGCTAAGATTACAGGAGTGTGCCACCAAGCCTGGCTAAGTCTCACCGTTTTCATCAGAAACTGACCCAACAAAACAGACCCTTACCATTCTACTTTTAAGGTTACTTTTACAGAATTGATTGTCTATAACTGATACACGAGGGAGAATGAAATCAAACTGCTGTTCATTCATTTATCAAATATTTTCTTTTTTCTTTTTCTTTTTTTTTTTTGGTTTTTTGAGATGGTCTCACTATGTAGTTGAGACTGACCTGGAGCTCGCTATGTAGCCCAGGCTGGTCTCGAACTCACAGTGATCCTCCTGCCTCAGCCTCCTGAGTGCTAGGATTACAGGAGTGCACCACAACGCCTGGCTATCAAACATTTTCTGAGCAAGGTTCCATTCTGGGAGTTAGAGAAGTTATTCAGATTGTCCCTGCTAACAAGCAACTCAAAATCTAGTAGAACTGATGAAAACACCCACAACAAATACATGACAAAATGAAATAAATGTCACAGCAGAGTTATAAACAAAGGGCTGCATAGGAACATAGCAAAAATTCTGACCAATGGGAGGTAAAAAACTTCCTTGAAAAGACAGGCATTGGGCTGGGCCTTGAAGAATGAATTGAGCATCTGACTAGTGGGGAAATGCAAATAGAGGAAGCAGCATAAATATTTGCATAATAGGGTCATAGCTCCATAAGAGGGCCATACAAAGTGCTGCTTGGCCCCCAACCTCACACTGAGATTAGGTGGATCCAGCTTAGATTTAGGTGAATTCAATCCCCAAATTGATGCAACAGAAGAAACTGCAACTGCCTTCCTTAGAGGCTGGGGATTTAGCTCAGTGGTTCTGCCACCTGCTTCACAAGCACAAGGTCCTGAGTTCGATCCTTTGTACCTAAAAAGAAAAAAAAAAAAGAAAGAAACTGCCTTCCCTTCTTGGGTTCTATGGTATTTGCTTTGTACCTCCAAATCCTAATTGCCCTCTTAAGCCCTCGTCTTTCCTGTTCTTTAGTTAGTTCTCATGATTTTGCTCTCTCAAGATGCTAAAATAAGTCCCTGATTTTTTGTGAATATAGCAGGGGCGTCTATACCCTACCCATCTTCTATTAAGCTTAGCACACCATGGGTACCAAGAATCTATTTGTTCACTGGTTGCTGAAGTCTATAGTCCCAGGAATCATGGAATGACAGCTTTACAAAGAAATGGAGCAAGAAGGGGCAGCATCCATAAGCCTAGTCTGGGATAGGAATAGTGAAACAATTAGAAGGCACGTACTTCTGGCTTTTAGATTACACTTTAAGAAACTGTTCTAAATTTAACACAAGGTGTTCAGACTTGCCTGATCATCATATGGGACTGCCCTGTAATCCACCTTCTGTTCTCTGAAGTCCCAAATTTGGTCTTTAATCCATTTTTCTAGTTCCTGCTTGTCAGCATCTCACACTGAGGCATGGTATCTCACCCGTCATCTTGGAAAGAGTAATGGGAAGAGGGGTGGGTATTTAGCTCAGTGGTGCCACCACCTGCCTCACAAGCACAAGGACCCAAGTTCAATCCCCAGTACCAAAAAAAAAAAAAAAAAAAAAAAAAAAAAGGAAGAGAGAGAGGAGAGAAGAGAAAATGCCATTGCCAATTTGGAGACCTTAGGTCCAACACTAAAGACAGCAGAATTAGGGCTGGATGTAGAGGTGAAAAGGACTCAGGTGGAGTATAGCTTCCTAGGAACTGGTATCCAAAGAGCTGAGCCTCAGAACTGTTAGGTGAACAGGACAAATAAGGAAATGGATTAGGGAATAGGGTAAAAACCCAAAAATGTCACTGCCTCCCAGGATGGACCATGAAATCAAGGTAACTGTTGGGGAGAGTGGGAGGGAACAGGTACAAACAGCACCAAAGCACAAATGGGTTCAAAGAGGCACAGAACTTTGGCTTTAGGGATTACCTAATCTACCCCTCTTCTCTAATTCCCTAGTTGAAGTCCTCAAACTTTCTCCTTTGTGATATTCTAAACTTCTAACTAGTGTCTCTCTTCCTCTATGTATGTGCATATGTGTATGTGTATGTGGTGTGTGTGTGTGTATATATGTGTGGATCAAATCCAGGGCATTCACACTGAGCTTTAACTCCAGCATTTTGGGAGGTGGGTATCGGGGATCGAACTCAGGACCTTGCACTTGTGAGGCAGGCAGCAGCACCACTGCGCTAAATCCCCAGCCCTTATTTTATTTTATTTTTGAAATAAGGGCTGGCTAAGTCACTAAATTGCCCAGGGTGGGATCAAACTTGTGATCCTCCTGCCTTAGCCTCCCAAATGCTAAGATTAAGTTTCTCTCTTCATCTTTGATTCTTCTAATTCATCCTCCACATTGCTATCACACAAATCTGATCATGTCTTGACCTTAAACACTGAAATAATTCAATGTTTCCCTCCACTGAGGATAAGGCCCAAAGTTTGCATTGTCTATGAACATCGTTTACTACTAGACTAATTCCTTCTCTTCACCCTCACTTTCATCAGATTCCACTGACAATATACTGCAAAATATTCTTCAAAGATGCAGCATCTGCCCAGAAGATTCTAATGTAAATCCTACCTCAAATGTGATTTCTCAATTAAGACTGACCTCATTTATTTCCCATAGTACAGATGAGTTCATTTCTCTTCTACACTCCCAAAAAGTCTCCATACAGCTCCCCCCGCCATACCAGGGATCAAACTCAGGACGTTGTACTTGCCAGGCAGGCATGGAGCCACTTAGCCACATCCCTGGCCCCTCCATATAGCTTTTATTACATTGGCTTGTATTCATTTAGAGACTGAGAGACCATCATGAATAAGGATAGGTTCTGACTTCACATAACCCTCTATGCCCTCAGCAAATAGGAGACGATGGTCACACAAAAAAGTTAATGCCCTTCATATTTCATAAAAACATAGCTCCAGGCAGAGCCCAGCAGAAAATCTAGGTTATCTAATGCCCAGATCAGGGTACTATTTTCAAAAGTTGCTGCCATCTTCCATGACCATCTATCTACCTGATGGTTCCTCACTGGTTTGGACTCTGAAACATCAGAACAGCGGCTGATATTTGCAGACTTGCAGGAACCCAAGCTGCTATCTACAGGAGAGCCTTCTGTGCCTCTCCTCGGGAAGTGTTTTGATTCCCAAAGGCTTTGAGCCAAGCTGTAGGTGGTGACAGAGCAGGTGAGTCATCCCAGCCCACACCTATTCTCTGCTGAAGGGCTCTAGCATCTGTCTGTCTTAGGCAATATGGGAAATGGGTACTCTGAGCCAATTCAGGTCCCAGGGAGGGAGGGCTGCCATTATAGCCAAAATCTCCCTTTTACTTCTGGTGATGAAATCAAGCCTTTGCTATCTGAGCAAATATAATAGAAATAGTCTCAGAAAAGTTGCAGCACATGATAGAGCTTAATGGACATAGCTCACAAAGTGTTGTTGGGTCAGTCCTCACTAAAGAAAGAGATTTACTATGAGATATATTAATATATAAGGATTTACAAGCCGGGCGTGGTGGCGAATGCCTGTAATCCTAGCACTCGGAAGGCTAAGGCAGGAGGATCACTGTAAGTTGGAGACCAGCCTGGGCTACATAGTGAGTTCCAGGTCAGTCTCAACTACATAGTGAGACCCTGTCTCAAAAAAACAAACAAACAAAAAAAAGGATTTACAAGGTAGGCTTATAATGGCTGCCTTCAGAGTCAGGTGTGCATGAGTGCAAAAGGGCTGTCTACATGCTAGCGATCCAAAGAATCTAGTCAAATGCCTGGAGCTCACTGTAGAATCCTGTGCAAGTCTGTAACAAGAGGCCAAAGGGTCTGCAATGGAAGTCTGAAGAGTACACTGGAAGGCTGAAGAGTCTGTGCTGGCAGCCAGGAAACAGACATCCAAGGCAAAGACAAAGACTGCATTTCCTGAAGAAACAAAACTGAGATGGCCTCCTTTTCCTTTTTATTCCATTCAGGCTACAAAAGCTCATTAGCCAGTGCCACTTACACCCAAGGTGAGTTTTTTGTCTTCAGTAAATCCATTCAGCCACACCCAATCAGCTGGGTATTTCTTACTCAAATTAACACAACTGTTAACTATCACAATCCGCCCCTTGTCAACCTGACAACCATGTACATTTCCTTAAACCATACTTAGTCGTCAGATACAAAGACAAGTTTTTTTTGTTTTTTGTTTTGTTTTTGGTACCGGGGATCAAACTCGGGTCTTTACAGCTTGCAAGCCAGGTGGCAGAACCACTGAGCTAAATTCCCCCAGCCAAATTTATTATTATGCCTAACATGATACAAGTGTCCTGCATACAAATGGAAATGTACCAATTCCCTCCCCAGAATAGAAGGCAATTTTCTTTGGATAATGCTTACTCCTAACATTTTATAACTTCAATATTATAATGTAGGTTTAACAATACTTAAGAACCAATATTAAGTCTATCAACATTATATTAACTAGGAAGCATATTAGGAGAGAACTTTCATAATTATAACCCTCATTTCTGTATCTGATCAGGGGATCATAGTTGGTATTTATAATTACCTTCTTCTACTATCCATTACGTATTCCTTCGGCCTACAGTGAGTACCTCAGCAGGTCTTGGTTCTTTCCATCATTCCCAGGTTTTGGGCATTTGTCATCCTTCCTAGATTGGATTGTTGTAATTTCTCACTGATTTTTTTTTTTTTAAACCAGGGATCAAACTCAGGACCTTGTGCTTGGGAGGCAGGCAGTCAGCAGAACCACTGAACTAAATCCCTGGCCCTCTCACTGATCTTAATAACAGTGCATGATAATACTGGGAGACCTTCCTAAGGGATCTCCTGCACTACAAGTATATTCTTCCTTTCCTCCACTGTGGAGTAATAGTCCAATTTCCCTTTGATAATCTGGGTCAATCATCCTCGCCAACATCTTAACTCCCTTTTTAGCTTGTTTACTCAGAGGCATGAGATCAAAATGACCAGAGGGAAATCTCAGCTCTAGTTCAATGGAATCACTGTTGTGTTTCCTAGTTATAAGCCTTTCCCAGTCTGGAACTGAGATTTAGGCCAGCAGAGGATGAGGTCATGAGAACTGGAACCAAATTTTTGCTAATGGATCACTAGGGATAATGGTGAATGGTACCATTCCCACTTCCACCTCTGGATTCCTGGACCCATGAATCCTAGCTATAGGAGACACTGACTCAACGTATACACAGCCTTTTAAAGAACCTTGCCTTGCAAACTATTGCCCCCTAGCTGGTGCTATAACTGCATCTTCAAAAGACCACACCACCTATCAAGCCAGCTACTTCTGAATGGTGAGGAACATGGTAAGACCAGTGAATTCTATGAGCATGAGCCCACTGCCTCACTTCTTTGGCCATAAAATGTGTTCCTTGGTAGCCAGGCATGGTGGCACATGCCTGTAATCCCAGCACTCAGTAGGCTGAGGCAGGAGCATCACTGTGAGTTCAAGACCAGCCTGGGCTACATAGTGAGTTCCAGGTCAGTCTCAACTACATAGTGAGACCCTGTCTCAAAAAAAAAAAAAAAGTATTCCCTGGTGAGAGGCTATGCTGTGGGGAATATCAATGATGATGGATTAAATATTCTATGAGTTCATGAATGGTAGTTCAGTAGAAATATTATGTGCAGGGAAGGCAAATCCATCCAGAATAAGTGTATATGCCATTAAGGATAAAAAGCATTGCCCTTTCCATAATGGAAGTGATCCAATATAATCAAGGGCCAAGGATTTAGCTCAGTGGTTCCAGTTCAATCCCCGGTACCAAAAACAAACAAAAAAACACCAATATAATCAACCTACCACCAGGTCACAAGCTGATCACCCTGGGGAATGGCACCATACTGGGGACTCAGCATTGGTCTCTATGGCTGTCATATTAAGCATTCAGTAGTGGCTTCAGCCAGATCAGCCTTGGTGAGTGGAAGTCCATGTTGCTGGGCCCATGTACAACCTCCATACCTCTGCCATGCCATTTTATTCACGAGCCCACTGGGCAATGACAGGGTTGAAGAGGTTGACTGCATCTACAGAATGGGTCATTCTACCCCCTTGATTACTGAAGTTTTCTGCTGAGGTCACTTTTTGGTGGGCATTTATATGGGATATAAATACCTTTACATCCTTTGCCCATATAGAAAGGTTTGTCCATGTACCTCTTCTCCATCCTTGAAAAGTCCTGTCATTGTCTTTCTCTGTATGCCAGACCTTATGGTAAGAACCACAGTTACTCGATTGGGAAACTTATAGGCAGTGGGTTTAATTGAATATGGAATGGCATGGGTCAAGAGGCAGCACTTAGTGCTGACAAGATGCATGTGCTTACCATAATGGACAGCAGAAGCAGAGCAATGACTGGAATAGTTTGGCATTGGCTGACTAGTCACATTGTTCCCAAAAGTTAAATAAACAGGAAGCCTACTAAATTTTTACTAGGTTTATATAACTGAAAAAACTTGGGGGCAAAGGAACAGAAACCTACCTCAAACTGTAGTGACAGAGAGTCGTGGTTCTTCAGCTAGTTCCCAAATTTGAGCAGTTTACAGACACAGAACCCCTTGAATGAAGGGGTAGCTAGGTCCCTTAACAAAGGACCCTGGTGCATCACCAAAAATTTATCCTGTCCATCTTTCTCCCATCCTTCTCCACAGGGATCTAAGTCCTTTTACCAGAGTGACTATACATTGGAGGAAGGAAATTAATCAGACATTTCGGGAGTATGGACACTGGTTCTGAACTAATGATGATTCCAGGGGATCCAAAATATCACTATAGCCCTCCAGTAAGAATAGGGGCCTATTAAAAAAAAAAAAAAAGAATAGGGGCCTATTGAAGTCAGGTGATCAATGGGGTTTTAGCAAAGGTCTGACACACAGTGGGTATATGTTATGGTTTGTGTCTAGATATCCCCTCAAAGCCTCATTGAGTCATAGGTGGGGCTTTTTCAGAGATGGGTGAATCTAGACTGTATGATGCTGGGATTAAGGGTATGTAAAATACTAAATCAGTCCACTGGTTAGTTTAGCACCACCCTAACCTAAGTAGTCTAGACAGTATAAAAGCGGCAGAAAGAAACTGCTAAGATCCCTCACTTGCTTTGCTATCTTCTGCCACCATGAACTGTTTCTTCTCTGTGCTGTTTGTCTGCCATGCCACCCTGCCTTGGAACCAGTTGATTATAGACTGAAATGTCTACAAACTATGAGCTAAACCTTTCTGCTTTTAACCTTAGGTGTTGGGTATTTTGTCTCAGCAACAAAAAAAGTGAGATAGTCCAGTAGTTCCCCAAATTCAACCTGTGGTTATTTCCCCTGTTCCAGAATGCATAATTGAAATCAATATACTTAGTACTGGGCCAAATCATCGCATTTGTTCACTAACCTGTAGTGTGAGGGTTATTATGGTTAGAAAGGCCAAATGGAAGCCATTAGAGTTGCCATTATCTGGTAAAATAGTAAACCAAAAACAGTATCTGTGATTTGAGCCTGGTGATAGGCCTAGCGGCAAAAGTGGGTGGTAAGGGTGGGTCCTCAGGAGTGTCAGCATTATTATACTTGGTTAACACAGGATTGATGGGCACAGATATGGGAGGGAAGCCAACATTACATGGATGGAAGGAGAGACGTTCCCACCACTATAGATATGGAAATCTTCCCTGACAAAATAATCTCATTAGAATCTAGGAGCTCAACATCCCCAGCCTCATCAGGATTCTCGCACACATCTCCATCCCAATTTACGGATTCTTTCCTAATCAGAGCCCTCAGCTTTACTTCAGATATCCTTCAAGGCTAAGCTTTAAACTTACACTGTATTTCAGCCAATCAAATTATAAAGACTTATGATTGGGTTTTTGCAATCTTGGCCCTACAGCTAAAGAAAAGATTCTCTTTCAGGACACACTTAGAAACTTCTAGATTTTTTTATGTGTCTGGAGCTGGCAATTTGAATATTTGAGCTCTTTATTTTCCTTTATTATTTGTCTTCAGAAGACTTGAGATTTTTCAAGTCTTCTTGGAATTCATTATTTTTCTTTTACTAGCTTGCCCAGAGATGCTAGGAGCAACCATCCAGCATCACTGTATTTTCCCACTCTGCCAAAAATATTCAAAGGTATCTATCTTATATGCAGTTGCTAAATTCCTTGCATCTCACCAATGGTTAATTAGGAAAATCAAATGGACCTACAATGTGTAGCATTTTAAACAATTAACACTACAGACTATCAGAACTGTACAATTATCAGAAGAGACCATGGCATCTCCAGGTCTTATCAGAGAGCCAACTCCAGGAATCACTAAAGCCATCAAAGAATTTCATCTTTACAATTCTGCCTCTAGAGCCACTCTTGGTACCAAAATCTGTTTCAGTCAGTGCTCACTAGAGAAACAGATTTAATAGAAGATATTTTAATATATAAGGATTTACAAGGTAGACTTACCATGGCCACCTGCCGAGTGAGGTGTGGAAGGGTACAAAAGGGCTGTTTGCACACTGGAGCAGAAGGATCCAGTCAAAGGTTGAAGGCCTGGAGCTCACTGTAGATTCCCATGTGAGTTGGTATCAGGAGGCTGAAGGATCCATGCTGGAAGGCTGAAGTCTACACTCTAAGTCAGGAGACAGATTTCCATGGCAAAGGCAAAGATTGGAGCTCCTCCAAAGAGACAAAACTTAAAGACTTCTTTTCCCTTTTCCATTCAGCCTGTAAGTCCATCAGCTAGTGCCACTCACATAGAGGATGGGTCTTCTATCTTCAATAAATCCATTCATCCACAACCAGAATCATGACATTCCAATCAGCTGGGTGTTTCTTACTCAAGCTGACATAACAGTTAACTATTACAAGCCCCACTTCAAGAAAAAAGAGATGTAAGCCCTGAGGGCCTTCTATCTAAGCAGTCTTCTCTCCACAGCCTGTCCTTATTGGTGTCTCTTCATTTCCTTAAATTTGAAGCTCTCAAGAAAAACACAAGAATTTTTTCCTTCTGGGTGCACTACTACCATCCCATATTAAACCAAGATATTTATCTTACAATTAAATCTTGTTAAAGTCAGCACAGAAAGTTGATAAGTAAATCTTCACTTTGCAAACTCTTTTCATCATAAAAGGCTCCCTCTAATACCTTCATTCACTGTGGCTTACAATATATAAGCTGCTCCTTCGGGAATTGGAGAGATCCAAATATTAACACAGTGTAATCCTTACCCACCAACCCCCCAGCAACAAAGAAAATAAGTTACATATTCAAATTACTGTAGGTCACAATTCGTATCTGAAACATCCCCCAAAACCTCACGTTAAAAGGGTTAGTTCCCAGTACAGTAGTGTTCAGTGGTAGCGCCTTTGGATCATAAAGAACCTAACCTCTTCAATGGATACATCCATTGGTGCATTCATAGCTTAATGGGCTACAGAGAGGCAAGAAAATTTTGGACATGGACCATAGTTGTAGGAAGTAGATCACTAGGGGCATACCCCTGAAGTAAATTTTTTCCCCAGTTTCTCTCTTTCTCATCTCTCCTTTCTCACCTGAGCCAAAACAGTGACAAAAAGCTAACTAACACACTGTGGCACAAGGAATGATGTAGTAAATTCTTTAGAGGAGCCCTACAAAGGTAAGCTTGGGGATCTAGAGGCAGATGAGAGTAGAAGGACATCATGAAGGAGGTGGCATTTGAACTGGGCTTTGAAGAATGGGTTGGCGTTGCTGTCAAGAAATAGGTGAAATGGCCTCCAGATGGAGATACCACCAGTGAAGGACTATAGCAGGATACACAGACTATGGCTGAGATCAGATGATCAGCAAATCCATATGTGGAAACCCACAAGGGTGAGCAGAAACAGTATATTTAACATGCCCAAGACCCAGGGAAACTAGACAATGGCGGAAGGAAAAGGCTCTCGGATAACAAAAATACAAAACCTAAACATTATAGCAGTAGGGTTTATTCTAAATAAGTGTATCAGGATGAAATCTGGGTTTAGACCAGAGTTCAAATGCCAGCTCAACCCAAATGTCTGTGTGATCCTGGACAAGTTCTCTAACTGAACTGAAGTTTTCGATCTCTCATCTGCAAGATCTCTACTTTTTACCTAATAGACTGCTATAGAATAATGCCTATGAAGAATCTAGCAATGCAAGGCACACAGTACATGAAATATGTAATATATGTTTGGCTCTTTTTCCATTAAGAGCTTAGAGTAGGAACAACAAAGATTTTCTGTACTCTCTAGAAAGGAAAGGGTCAATAAAATGGGATTCTGAAGAGAGGAGATAATAGTGGAAAAGGAAGCATAGGAAAAGGAGCAAAGTGCTTTTAAGCTGAGCTTTCCGCTCCATAGCAGCCTATTTTAGGAGTGCTGGTAAAATTCCCCACCAAACTGGTTGTTGGTTTATCACTAAAGAATGCTGTGTTCTAGCAGCAGCACCAGCAATGCTATCAGCAGAACTGAGTTTGTGGATAGAACAGTGAGTAGGAGTTAAGCAGGGACAAGAGGCAGCACCCTGGGAATCTGCCCAGATTTGGGGGGTGGGGTTAATCAGAAATCAGGGGGTGGATAAAGATAGCTTGAGAGTGAAAGAGAGAATGAATTGATTTTTAATTCCAAAAGCTGTCCTCCACTAAGAAAGCCAAGCTGATGTCCAAGATATTTTCAGATTTCCATACCTGCTCTTTTAGCCTAATGAAGCTGGCCTATTACAAATCAGCAGAGAAGACAAATACGCATGGGACTCAGTTCTGCAGAAAGCTTCCAGCCCCTGAAGCTGACTACAAATCCCATGGAGAACTGGCACAGAAAGGCTCGTCGGTGAGATGTACCACCTAACCCTATGTTTGTCCCTCATTCACTCTTTCATTACACAAATGTGGACAGAGAAACCACTATATACAATACAGGACTCTGGAAAGGCAGATGTCTTAGTTATTCACATAACTTCATCTTAGTTATTCAGGTCTCTATCCCTCGTTTAACTAGTCAATTTTTTTAATCTGTCAAATGGAGAAAACAGTGTATAGAAAGATGCGAAGAAATCATGAATATGCTTGGCATAGAGTAAATGCTCATGAACAGTAAACTATAACTTAAAATAAGCTTTCTATTAGAAGTAAGATTGCTTGTTATGCAGGATATCTTCCATTTGACTCTCCGGGCACAATTTTTATTCTTTTCCATCCTGTGCTGTGCCCTAAAACTATCCTGTCTGGACACGATCAATTCTCCCTTTCCCTAACTTGTAGTTCAGATTTGTCCGTGGGAAGCCTTAACAGAACCTAGGGAAAATGTGAGGACAAGTGGTGTTTTTATTCTCACAACTTCATTCTTGAATCCCTTGACCCAAAGTCCCAATTTCAGTAAGATGACCATACATATTTCTCTGATTCCAGAAGTATAGACAGTAAGATCCCACGATTAATAGCCCCAGAATATTCCACTAACCCTATACACTGCTTCAAATTACCCAATTTAAACGGACCATCTGTTTCCTGGTGGACCCTAATATACACAGTATTGAATGAGAACATATCTGGGAATAGGAAGACCTGAATTTAAGATTTAATTCTCAGGGCCGGGCATTTAGCTCAGTGGTTCCGTTCTGCCTGCCTTGCAAGCACAAGGCCCCGAGTTCAATGCCCCGTACCAAAAAAAAAAAAAAAAAAAAAAAA